TTAAAAATAGATGAAATTAATTGCGAACTTTGACAATGAGTTCGTCGACCATATCAGACAATTGCTTATTTTCGTTACACTTCTGATCAAACTGTTTCTCCAGTGAACTGATCCTCATTTCGCACTTTTTCTGTTGAATCTTATAAGACATCAACTCATTCTCCAACTCTTTCTTACCGTTTTGTGAGCTAAACAATAAATAATTATTAAAAGGATATTAAATAATGATTTTATAAATAAAAAGCAAACCTCTGTTGCCTCTCAAGTGCCGCATATTTATCGTAAAGCTCTCGATAGTGTTTCTCCAATTCGTTAAACTTGTTATTCGTATTTAAATTTTGAGTCTTAAAAAATTCTTCGTTATCTTTTGCTACCTTTAAGTCAGCCATCAATTTATCACTATTTGCCTGCAATTGGTTGCACTTCTTCTGAACGGTTAGCATATCAACGATCGCTTTATTCTTCTCGTCAGCCATTGAATCGCAAGCGGACGCCGAGACGCGGACCAACTCTTCGTTAATATTATGATAAACACTGATTATGTTGAGAAACTTGTCGTTCTCTTGCTTCGCGGCCGACAACTCTTGCATCATATCAGTGATGGTGTGGTCCCTCTCGAGTAACAGCCGTTCAGACTCTTTCATTCTTCCCTCCAATTCATTGTCCAGATTTGAAGCCAATAATTGCTGTTCCAAAGCATTGATTGCAATATCCTTTTCCCGCAACAGTCTCTCCATATCTGTCACTCTTTGATCGTTCAATTGGTCGCCAACTCTTAAGTCCAACAATTGTTGCTCCAAGTCTTTAATGGTTTGGTCCTTCTCTCGCAAGAGTTGGTCCAACTCTTTGACTCGTATTTCCAAAGTGTCGTCCTGTTTGAGAACAAACAACTGTTGCTTTGTTTCTTGAATCGTGTCGTCTCTCTGTGTTAACATTTCTTCCAACACTTTGATTCTGTCCTCCAATTCATTGATCAAAAGAAACTGTTCTTTGGATTCCAAACAATCAATATTTTGTTGCATTTTGGGACTAACACTGAAACTCTTGACCCTTTCGGGTCGTTTAGGCGTCTCAGCGATTCTGATCGCACCAAACATTTCGGCCAAATCTGTGCTCATATTTAAATCATTTTCAAATCTTTTGGGTTCCTTTGGAGTCTCACTAAATGACTTGTTTCTCAGCTCCGATAGTGGATCAAAGCCACGGAGAATTGATGTCCTCGAGGGCTGACTGGTCTTTGGATTGGACTTGGAGTTAGAGTTGGATTTTGTATCCTTTTTGTCACTCCATTGAAACAATAGGTCATCATATTTAGAGCCAATGTTCTTATAGTAATCGTACGGATCGTATTCATTGCTCTTAGTATTACTCTTATTCGGTGAGCACTTCCAGTCACTGATCGACTGATTCGGAGTCGTATTGTCGGCCTCTTTGCGGTGATATTTCGGCGAATACTCCTTCTGGTGTCCAAAACGTATCCCATTTTTTGTTTCATTTGAAATAAAAACATTTTATCAATTATTGGGAAAACAAATTTTTGACACAAAACTGCCATCAATTAAAACCAATTAAATACCTTTCGTGTGAGAAAATTATACATTATTTAAACAGTAATATGTGTTTATAATTAACAAAAAATAGCGTAAAAACGTCTGACAAGTGTTAACTAATTTTGGTGTCAGACAAGAGATGAGATCCACTTATCAAACAAACACATGAATGATAGACAAGAAGTGTAAGGTTTGTGTCAAAACAAATCGCGGATTAAATTGAAAATTAATTTTCGTTCCGAAAAAATTAGTTTCGTTTCGGAGAGAGAACTAGATTTTAGCCAAACATTTGCATTCATTTACTGTTATATAACTTTAACAATGATTTACGACCAAAACATAAATATTAATATCCACTGACTTTACGACCAAACGGTTAAACAAATCAAAAAAGAAAGAAAACCTTTTTTGAGGTCAAGTCAGAGCCCACCAGAAATCCCACACATTTATAGCCAAATAAAGACAGGACTTAATAAATGGATACAAAAATATAAATATATGTTAAAATTACCTCATTTTCATCATCTGTTTGACACCGATTTGGCTCATCGTTTGGTTGGCAGTCAAGCGTGAGTTCACTGATTGGGGACCGACTCGGAGGGGAACTACTGTCCGGACAGTCGGTCTTCGGGAGGCAATGGAAAGACTGTTCCGCTTCATAGTAGGTCTCATCCATATTAGCAATGCTTTGTTGTGTAATGTCTCCCATCGACTCTCCAATCGTGTCTTCAGATATTATACTTAGTTTCGTTTCATCCATTGATATGGTGTCCAAGAGATCGTCCATTATTTCTTTCACTTGTCGATCGATGTCTTGACAATCCTTTTTGATTTGCCAAATGTTTTTCATCAAATTATTTCATAAAATATTGAGAATAAAAATGTATTAAAAAAGAAAAGTATATTAAAATCAAAGCTCTTTATCGAAGAGAAAGAGAAAAATGATAAGAAAAGAGATAAATGAAAAAGTTATAAATGAATAAATTATTGGGATATTTATACCAATTGGTTGGGAATAACAGGCGTTTGATTACCCATTAGTTCAGTGAAATAACTTTTCAAATAAATTGATCTCTCATTCAATAATCAATTACTGACTGAACGTTATTTGAATGTCAATCGACTTAACGAAACAAATGAGATAAAGTTGTGCTGAAAAAACAGTGAAAGTTATAATCACTTTTGTCTTTGAAATTTGGTCTAAAAATAGTTCATTGCTTTAAATAAACCAAAAACTCTGTCCGACTCTCACTTCATCTCTAAGGAAGACATTGAAAGCTGCGCTCAAATATTAGGCTTTTAACTGTCAAACGGTTTGACATTCACTCTAATGCTTGATATAAACTGATGTCAACTTTTTTGGAATATTTATAAGTTTTTTTGTAATTAGAGTACAAAATAATTACCGGAATATAAACCCTTGTAATTGATATGAATTGACATTTATTTAAATACAAATTCAATTCAACACATCCTTTCAAATGTTATAAACAGTGCACACATTCCGAGTCAAACACCTCCTCGATTGCAACACAGTTTGTCTTTTTAATTAAATAAAATTAATATTTTTATACAAAATGTAGTTTTATTCACATTTATAATCAAATTAAAATTTGTAAAATATTGTTAAATAGTTAGACATTTTAAAGCATATTATATTACATTTTTACTTAATATAAAGATTATAAAACATATTTTTTGATTTAAAGTATAACTTTAATTTTCTATAATTTAAAGCAAAATATTATATAATAGTTTTGTAAGACTTAATTTTATCCATTAATTGATTGCTTTAAATCTTTTAAAATTGTCTAATTTAATGGTTTTGTTGTCATCGCATCCATGCATCAGATCCTGGATTTTTGTAATTGTTGACTGAATTCTATTGAAATTATTGTAGAAATTAATTGAATAACTCATTAAATGGTTTATTATATAAGAAAAGCTCACTTTTCGCAACTCAAACCAAAGTCTTGCATGAATTCAAGCTTTCGTTGAGTGGTTGATATCTTAAGGGCAATGGATTGAGTGCTTGCAATCAAATCGTCAAATAACTGTTCAATCTTTGTTACATTTATGTCACGCTTTTGGTATTCAATATCAATTAATCGCAAATAAATGCTATAATTATACGGATCCGTCTTAAGGGCGCCGTTAAGTACATCGACCGCCGATTCAGTGTTTTTCATCACTTTGAATAGGAAACGACTGAATCGTATGGATAAGTGAGAGTGGAGTTTAGGATTATCTTTGAATTTGTCGATTGAGCTCTTGAATAGTGAGTTCACTTCATTCAAGTCTCCCTTTCTGTGGTATAAATGTATTTTAGAGAGAATCGATTCAATCAGATGTGGATTTTCGGACTCAAATTTATCTAATATTTTGATCGCTTCCACAAAATTATCTAAAAAATAAACCATTAATTTGTTATTTTAATAAAAATGAAGAGAATGTAGACATAAATGTAGACATAATTAAATCAAATGTTTGCTAACTCTCGCGTTCCTCAAAAAGGCACCAAAGGTTATGGATTTTGAATGACTTTTTCATATGTATTTGAGCGGCTCTTCTGAACACATTTCTGATGGCATTGATATCGAAATTCTCGTAAAATTCTTTACCAGATTTAATCATTTCATATCTTTTGTCGATCAAATAGTTTGAGTACTAATAGTAAAAAGAGAGCGAAATTATTAAACACACATAACTTGTTGATCATTACAACAATGACTGACCCGAACCCACATGTGTTCATAGAGAGCACACGAGACAAGACATCTCTCAAACAATAAGATAGCGTTGGAGTGAATGTTGCGATCGATTTCCCAATTTAAATATTTGGCCCAATTATCTAATTGTGTGATATCTAAAGGGTTTACGTGAAAGTATGGCCTTTTGATGTTCTCTTC